CTTCCACCCTNACCCAGATCCTGCAGTGCGAGCAAGTCCACTCGTCCATTAAAGCCGATTCACAAACGTCAGGCGCAACGTGATTTGATTTTTGTACCATCGGGAGACTTTTCTTATCCACAAATTTGCAGAAAAGGAACCCACAGGGGATGCTGGCCATGCCCTGCCCTGGTGCTTGAGGCTGGCCAGGCTGGGCCACGCCGTGTGTTTATGGACCACAGTGGGTGGGGGGATCCCAGGACAGTCCCAGCCAGGGAGACCCTCTGAGATGGCTCTGAGCACTGGCTCAAGGCCAGGCTGGCACTGACACCCACGGCCACCCTCCTGTCCCCACACAGCTCTGCAAGGAGGGAAGGGGAGTCCTAGACTACTTAAGGGGGTGGTGCTCAGCTGCAAACAGGGTTGGGACCCGGGTGCCACCCCCACCTGGAGTCAGGTGGCCTTGGGGCCCGGACTTCCTACCTGGGCACTGGCTGTCACGTCCTCCTGCTCCTGGAGGTCACAGGCTTGAGGGCGTCCATCTGGTCTGTCTCGCAGGGATCCTGGAGTCTGGGCCCATCTTCATGGGGCAGCAAAGAACAAGAGAACACCCTCGTGAGAGAATGCCGATGACACTGCCACTCTGCCATGCCAGGGGACCCCAGGGGGTCTGCTCCTGTGCCCACGGCACCCCTGACCGATGGGCCACACTGGGCCGGCCCCCTCTTGGCCAGCACAAGGTCCCACCTGGGGGCATGCGAGAGTCCCCCATGGCCCCACCAGACACTCTGGCCGGGGCTCCTCCTGGCCAAGTGCCTGTGTGTGCACGTGTGTACATGTGCCATGTGTGCATAGATACACGGCTCCTGCGAGAGGCCCAATGCTTTATCCTCTTTTTTCACTTCCTGTCACCCCATGACACTNGGAGCACCCAGGGGGGCTCGCAAATGGGGCCGCAGGAGGTCCAGCTGGGCCTGTTCTGGGCCCTTTGGGACAACTCTTACAAATGCCGAGCTCCAGTCACCCCAGGACGAGAGGAGTTTCACTGGGAGTCGCCCGGTGCCCTGACGCCCCTCGGAGCACCAGCTTTTCCTGCCTCACTAGAGGGACCCAGATCCTGCAGTGCGAGC